ACCAAATCCATGGAGAGGAAGAGGACAACGAAGTAGGAAACCAAGAAATGCAACAGAACCCTAATCCAACTGAAGACTACCAAGAAATGCTGGATCGTTTGCTAGCACTTCCTGGCCGACAAAATCTAGACAAGTCATTTTCATGCATAAACGGATTACTTAGATAAATTTCAAATGAGGTTCAAGTACAACGGTAAGTTTGCTAATAAGCTATTTCGGCGATGATTCAAATTCTAGACAAGTCATTTTCATGCATAAACGGATAACTTAGATTAATTTCAAATGAGGTTCAAGTTTAATGTCATTCTCTCTTGCTGTAGTATATATAGTATATTACTAACTTACTTTTTTGTGTTATGTAGCGGGAGTTTAATTGGGATGTTGGGATTGCTACCCTTGTTAAAGAAGGATTCTTGGTTATAGCGAAGAAACAGATGAAAGGCATTGTCATTCAAGTGAAGAAGACTGGTGTACAACCAACTTGGATTGGTGACACACTTTGGGCTGAGATGCAGCTTTTTTGGAAAACCATTGAGGCTATAGAGAGGAGTGAGAATGCTTCACAATGCAGAAATTCTGATCGTGGAGGACTTGGAGTGCACAAACACTTAGCCGGTCAGAAATCATTTATTCAAGTTCATCAAGAGATGGTAAGTTGTTTCAATCCCTCCAAATACTTAACTTTTACAGAATTTCTATGATTTCTACACATGATATTCTTTTTGTCTTTCATTTTAGGAAGAAGAGTTGGGGCGTCCAGTTTCACTTGGTGAAGTGTTTATGAGAACGCATACTAGAGCTGATGGATCTTTTGTTGATCAAAAGTCTGAACAAGTGGCTGAGGCGTATAAGAAGATAGTTGAAGAGAGATTGGCTGAACTGGAAGAGGATGGTCAGGATACTTCAGAGATTTCCTCCGAACAGTCAATGCATCCTAGAGAACTCAGCATTGATGAAATGAATGATATCTTCCTTAAGGTAAGTCATTTCTGTCTTTAGTTTGCTTGGAATATATGATTGTATTTGTTTGTTGGAATATGATGATAGTCTTCTCTGCTGAGCATTTTGGTTACTTTAATAACGATATTCATCATACATTTTGGTTTCTTTGTCTTTGTCTGATTTGCTTACTCTTGCTGGCCATACTTGACTGTTGGCTATTTAAGTGGATCAAGTGTTTCTGGATTACGTTTTTTTTTTCTTTTTCTCTATGATCCTTCTTGTATGTTTCACTGAATGTTTGTCTCTTGTTGCAGTGTACTCATACAGATGACCAAGGTAACCCTTATGGCCTTGGATCACTGGTGGAGACCCTACACAAGGGAAAAAGGAAGGAGAGTTACGCAAGCTCTTCTTCTACAGTTACAGTTGTTGAGCTTCAAGATCAGCTGCGGCGCAAGATCTCTGATCAGGATGCTGAAAATGCAAGACGTGATGCGGAGCACCGGAAGTCTCAAGCTCGGATCGCAAGCTTGGAGAAGCTCATCCTTTTCATGAAAGATAAAGATCCAGACTTGGCAGCTTTTATGTCTTCCTCTCCACTCCTTGAACCAGAAGTCATCATACCACCTATCACAACAACAGCCACCCTTCCAGACACCACAGCAGCAGCAGTCCAACCAGCAGGACTCACCCCTGAAACCACACCAACCTCCCCTTTATCTAACACCGCCTCAAATCATTGAACTTGATTTTTATTTCCTTTTGTCTTTGTGATCATGAAAACTTATTAGGATATGTTATGCTCTGATTAGGATAGTTTTGAATGGTTTGGAATGGTACTTGAATGATATTTGAATGGTTGAATGTAGCATTTGCTTTTGAAATGGACAGGTTTCGGATTGATAAGATGTGACCAAACTGTTTCAGAAAATGTGACTAGTTTGTGACCAGAACAAGTAACAAATGTGACCAAATTGTGACTAAACATAATTAGAAATGACTCCAAATCTCGTATCAAATTGGTTACTAATAGAGGACTATTTTGTCACCAAATTATAAGAGTCTTAAATTAGTCGCACAATATTACCACTCCTTTGCGACTATACTGTTACTAAAACATACACAGCCTGTGACTAATTTCTGACTAAATATTTGATCGAAGAACTCTAAACAGTCGCAAATGAGTCGCACTTTGGGACCAAATATTTGATCCAAGAACTCTAAGCGGTCGCAAACGAGTCTCAATTTGGGACCAATTACGTATGGTTACTATAGTCGCAAACGAGTCGCTAACGTATGTTCGTTGCTCTATAGTCGGACATTTGCAACGACATTCAGCAGTCACAGATTAGTCGTTAATCTGCGACGATATATTTATAGTCGTTCAAGAGTCGCAAATTTGCGACTATAGTGCGACTGGGAAATTTTGCGACCGTTTTTTTGCGACTAACCGAAATAGTTGTTAAACAGTCGGAAACCCCTCTTTTGCGACCATTTAGCAACCATTTTCACAGTCGCAAATGACGTGTTTTCTTGTAGTTGCATGTGTATGGTAAGAGTTTTGATAGTTTATCTTTTTGTAGATAACAAGAGGGTAACCAAAAAAGTAGACGTTTATGCATTTGGAGTGATATTACTAGAGATGATCACAGGAAAAAAAACATCAGTTGATAAAATAATGGGAGAAGAGTGATCAAAATTTGGCGATGTGGTTACGACCAAAACTATGAAATGAGAGGTTCTAAGAGAAATTAGACAAACCGTAGTTACAGATAATGAAAAAAAAAACGTTGAAGAGCATTGAAAAGGTAGCAAAGTTGGCGGAAGACTGCACATCTGTAGAGCTCTTATGCAGCTCATTATCGACCAAATGACATATGGATGAGGGGTTTTTGAACTCCTCTGCGTTTTCACAAACTATGAATTGTGAAACTTCATATATCTTGCCTTCGATTAAATGGTATATGTGTAACTATGTAACGAAAGAGTGCATGCTACTCTAGATCATTCCACTATGTTTAGATTTTAACATATCAGTTTTCGTTAGTGTGATATAATGTTGTTAAATTATTTGTAGTCATCGTAGAGTTCTACTTGTTCGGCTAAGAGTAGTAGGACGGCGCCTAGTTTCTTCTCTCTGTCTGTGTGATTTTTTGTTTCCCAATAAACAACGAGGCGAACGATGAGTGTAACATTTGAAGGGCCTAACCATACGTTCGTCATTCTTGTTAGCAATTTTATAAGGTGGCTAATATATATGATAAATTCAAAAAAAAAACATTGTAAAGTGAAAGATAAATTATCAATTCTCAAATTTTCAAATTAAGACAGGTTCCTTTTGCTTTTTTTTTTTTTTTTAGGTTCCTTATGTTGAAGGATAAACATCTATATTAATTGAACCGAAATATTTGATTAAATGCTTGGATATCTCCGATTACAAGCTGAAATCTGATTTTGATGCCTTTCTTGTTTAGAATCACATAAGAACAAAGTTATAATCTCATGGCGTAAAAACTCGTAAAAACGTGAAATTTTGTGTTCAATGTAGAAGAAGAAAAAAACCTATTTGTATTAGAAATTAACTTACAATACATAATTAATGCATAAGAGACTACAAATGATCTCATTTACACGATAGTTTTGTATACACGATGCAAGAAATTGAGAAAGAAATGAAAAGAAAAAATGAATTAAAAGGTATGTTGCACTGAATATCAAAATGCAGACACAACTTAAAAAGTAAGTTTAGGGCTTCCAACGCTATCAAATCTTTTTTTAAAAATAGATATTTCAATTAAACGAAAATATTAACCAAAAAACGGTCAAAATATTTTTTTAAAGGCTTTTCGGGCTAACCCGTCCGGGCTAAGCCCAAAAAACCATTTAGTCCGAAAGATCCGATTTTTTCAGGACATATATTTTAAAGTTGGAACCCGCTTTTTTCAGGACAGAGCCGAGGTAGCCCGCAGACTTTGGCTTTAATTGACATGTCTAGCCAAGGCTAAGAACAAATGGGTTCTTAATTATTAGAAATGGTCTTAGATTCTCAAATTTTGTGCAGATAAGCAGATAATCAAGAGGGCGTTCTTTACAGACTATTTTGATCTGGTGAAGATGGTGTCTTCTCCAACCGAATGGCCGGCGTTGGTGTCTTCTCCAACCGAATGACCGGCGTTTTCAGTGTATTTGGAGGAATTTCAAAGAGCCAATGAAGAGTTCTCAACATTCTCTTTATCTTTAATTTCTCGTAGTGCTAATGTTAAAGCGGATAATCTAGCACGAAAAGTTCGTACATAACCGTTTCATATCACATATGTAAACAACATTCTCAGGAATGACTCTTTCGAGCTCTAAGTAATTTCGGATGATAAAAAAAAAAAAAAGAATTGGGTTTAGAAAGAAAAGTACCTATGAGAGTTTTTGTTTTGAATTTGTCGAACTTTGTGTCGAATTTCGTGACAAGTGAAGTTTTCTGTTTTGAGTGAGGAGATTTGTGCTGTTAATTTAGTGACAAGTGTTTGTTTGGAGTGTTTTATTTTTGTTTTGTTTTATGTGATTATGTTGTGTTTGTTTTCCGTGATTTTGTTATGTTTATTGTTTGTGTTGTGTTTGTTTTTTTGTGATTGTGTTGTGTTTTTAACGGAAAAACGGTCTATTTCCCCACGAGAAGTATCGCATCATAACAGATAGAACCCATTCTTTGACCTCGGTCCATATCTCCATGAAATCAAATTTGTATTCCTATTTCTCCCCGAATCGAAAGTTCTATAGCTAAATGTCCCCGAGTCAAAAGTTCGAGATCTAAAACCCCACAGAGCTGGGTTTAATCGGTTTATTATATACAAAACTGATAAACAAACAAAGTAAACCTAATTATAACCGGAATAAACCCGATTTTACCCGCTTCGGTTCATAGAGCTGGTAAAAAAAAAATTTAGCTTCATAGTGCCGAAACCCCAATGGTAAACCACCAACAGAGCCACATCATAGACACAAATTTGTCCGTAATTAACAAATCAAATCAACACAAAGGTGGATCTTGATGATTCAAATCAAAATGTAAAGCAAATTCACTACTTTTTAAAACAATCAAGACCACATTCAATCAAATTAAAAAAATGAGAGCATATCCCATCAACACCATCTCGACCTGTAATCAAATTCGATTCTTTTAGAATCATTGCTAAACTCATTTTTCTTTCCCATGGCATAAGTTTCTCCAACGATCTAATCTTGTTTGAGACCGCCGTCGTTTGTGTGGGAAGAAGACGCCGTCGGAGATCCGGAGGTTGTTTGTTGGAATTGTATCCTTGATTGAACCTACAAAAGAGAAAAGAAGAATCCATGAGAAAAAGAAGATGAAGAACAGAGGAAGAAGCATCGAAGGAAGAAGAAGAAGTTGTTAAACAAAACAACAAAATGGAAAAAGTAAAGTCAACAAAGGAAAGTGTTATGTTGTATTAGTCTAAGGTGTCGTGTAAGAGTGAATTAAGGAGTTGGAATTCCAACATAATAGAGTGGTTGTCATAAGTCTTAAAGTATGGTCTAGTGGAGAAAAACCACTCCACTATATGTATGTGTGTGTGTTTTGTAAGAAGAGTATCCAAGTTTAGTAAAATGTAGACCATTAAAGAGAATCTCTCTTTTTTCTTAAAGATCAAATCGTTTATGTATGTGAAGAGAAACAAAACAAGAACAAGAAATATAAAGAGAGAAAAGAGAGAGATCTAACCTTGATGGTTAGAGATGAGTGGATGTGAGAATGTCAACATTGTTGAAGAAGAAAACGAGTGAAGAAGCTGGAGATTGTGCTGTCACGGCGGAGATGCTAATTGAGGTTTTCTCAGTTTTACCGAATCTAGAGGAGCTGGTTCTTGACATAGTGAAGGATGTGATGTGAAGCATAGTGGTGTAGCTTTAGAGGCATAGAATTCTAAATGCAAGAAGCTAAGAACATTGACACTAGGACAGAATGGAGGTTCGACGGCGTAGCTTTATGTGGAGGATTGCAGTCGTTGTCGATTACGAATTCCGGCGATTTAACTGATATGATTTGGTGGCTATAGGGAGAGGATGTTGTAAGTTTATTACCATCGAATTTGATTATTGGTTAATTACAATGAATTTCTCCAATGAGCTTTTGTAATTTTGATATCAAATTTTTCAAGATTTTTTTGTTGTTTGAAGAATCCGGTGAAGAAGAAGATGATATCGGAGCATTTACGGCTGGGTCATGTTTAAATTCAGTTAATACCTGACTCTTTAGTTGTTCTATACTAAAGACCTGTGCATATCTTTTGCAACGCAAGACCTGTGCATATGCATGAGACAAGAAATATAGTTACTTTACTTGACTCTTTCTGAGTTATGACAAAGAAACATGATGCACCACTTACCTTAAACTGAAGTAGTATTGAAAAAACTTTTGGCTCTCATCCCAAGTGGACAAAAACTCTCGGAATATACGATTCCATACCTCAAATTTAATCCCTTGCATGTTATAGCTCTGAAATACACATTAATCAATTTAAATAATGAGATACAAACCTTTTTTACCAATAATAATCACTTAGCCATTAAATTTGGAGACGATAGACCCAGCAGCAAGCTCACGTTAAGTTATATCCACCTGCAAATTACAGAACCATTAGACAATGAATTTCGTGTTAACTTACCTTTTTTAGCCTGAAACTACAATATATCTGCTAAGACATGAGAGCAGAGAGAGAGAGAGTTACGTCACATGATTGCCATTTGCTCTTGGCTATTAAACGCCTCTGGAACTTTAATTTCTTATGAATATACCTGTCTCAATCTAAAAGCATGTTCAACCATCGCAAATAAAAGATGTATATAATTAAACGATTAACGTATCAAAAAATTATTATGTGACAAAAGATTTTAAAACAGGATAAGAAAAGACATTAACAAACAAAGTTTACCTTGACTTACATGAGATCCTTCAATTTGTCAGAGTCTATATTCACACTAGCCCACTCTTGAACCTATCACTTTATAGAGAGGCTAAGATTATAGTGTGGAGAAGAGCGTAAGGTTGTGCAAAATAGTTCACCGTGTTAGCGCGAGTGAAGCCAGTGTCCTATTGTATGTGATGCAATGCTGGAACCTATCACTTTATAGAGAGGCTAAGATTATAGTGCGGAGAAGAGCGTATGGTTGTGCAAAATAGCTCACCGTGTTAGAGCGAGTGAAGCCATCGTCCTATATTGTATTTGATGCAATGCTGGAACGAGACCAGCCAACAATATACATATAGAAACAAAATATAAAATGAGAAAACAGACGCCCACTCAACACTAACAACAACAAAGGACAAAAAATACTCATACACTCTAAATGATATTTGAGGCTCAAATTTGATAATTTGATTATGGAACCTGTTCAAAGTTATGCGTAATCACCATCTTAAAGAATAACTAGATGACTTCAATAGAAACCTTGAGTTCCTCTTGTTCATCTGAGGTCAGATTCTTACTAGCTACAAATTCCTTATGGGCAGAACAATAACCACATGATTAATAGCAATAGCTCCATTGATGTTCTCAAGAACCGAAAAAAAATGACTAATGGATCAAGTTGAATTATACATACCTAGCAACCTCCATAAGACAATAGGTATATATCAGAACTCCAAGGCGAACAAGATGAACCGTCTTTTCGAGACATCCTCATCATAGTGGGAACAATAAGGATTATTCATAAACTGAACAGTTAAGCTTGAACATCAATATCATGAAATCACTTACACAACATTAGTCAACCACTAGTTAAACAGAAAGTAATGAAGAAAGAAGATAGAATAGAAAAAGAAAATAACATCACATGATTCAGTCATTTTTCTCTGGAACTTATGAAAGAACATACCTGGCTCAAATGTAGTTTAAACCATATATAGTAGATATATAAGACAAAAATGATACAGAATAATTACATCTTTCTGTGTACACGAAACCATTTTGGCATTAGTCGCTTGATCAATAAGATAATTGATTGTCGAGAAACAATCTTACGAAAACAAAGACCTGAAAAGTAAAATCTCACAGCAAATAGAATGTTTGGTCGTTGGGTTTATGCATCGCTTATTCATTCTTTTGTTTAGATTACTCTTTGGAGGCATAAGAATCCATTCCCTTGAAACCTAATTAGCAAGAAACCTTTAGCACAAATATTTTAACTAACACAAAACAAAATTACAGCTAATGAAGAAATTTACCAGTCATCATACAAAGTCTGCATGTTTGCTAGCCTCAAAAGTATGAAAAGGATCGCCCAAAACCTCCAAAAATCAATAAGTTATAAGTAAATATAGGGTAAGCCAAAAAAGAACATTCCACTGAAACATAATCACCTGGAAACAGAGAAAACGTTTGGCTTTCTCAAATTCACAAGATTCTCCTAAAACAAAATTCAATACTTCCTAGAGAACAATTAAAAAGATGGATTACCAAAACTTAAAATAACTAGATAATAATGGTTATTACAAGTAGACACATATCATCACTATAATTCAAAATCTCAAGTCGCTAAAAACCAGAGAAAGTGAATCATCGAACATGATCGATCATCACCTTAATTTGCTAACTCTTTCAAACTAAACCCTAAAAACGATAATCATAAGAGGTTGAGAATTGAATACCTGATCGGAAAAAGCTGATGTGTTACTCCGATGATCTTTTTTGCGTGTGTTTCGTCAGAGTAAAAACTCAACCATGCGACGGCGACGATCACCATCTGAAGCAATGGTCCGGATTCAATCAAACGATTTTCTCTCATCTTTCAGATAAATCACCGTACAGAACCGTACTGATCGATCATCATCGTAGGAGCAAAAAGGTCTCTGATGATTAATGCGATCAATTAAAGAGACTCCGATTACGTTGAATGAGAAGAAGCGAATACGAATTTGAAATTTGAAACAGAGAGAGGTTGAAGAATTTAGAGAGTTTCGTGGTTATGTGAGAAAGACCGAGAGGCATTAGTAATTTTGAAATCGAATCGAAAGGCTCCTTACTTTCTACCCGTTAGTTAATTACTTAAATACCCCTTCGACGAAACACGTCTTCTAATTTACAACCCTTTGAACATGAGCGGTGAGCCTTCGTTTGACTTCACTTACAACCTCTTAGAAAAAAAAAACACATAAGATTTGTTAAAAGCTAAAACCTTGAAACCAAAAGCTCTATCATCTCTAACAACGTAACTATGGGGAACCGTCTAAAGAACAAACCCCCTTTAATATCTCCCAAGCCTCTCATCGTTCCTCCAACTTTAGGAAAATCTCTCATTTCAAGTGCACTTTCTACTTTTGTTTACATATATAAGAGAGTTCAAATTTGCAATTTTGCGGAATTGAACAAGGAAACAATGAATTTCAGACAATACATGATAATGGCTCGAGAATTGGACTAGTTTAGTTAGGATTGCCTTTAATAATTTAGGTCATTCTTAGGATTTCCATAAATTTTACAATGCCATATGATGTAAATTATATTAAAGGTTTTTATCCAAAAAAATATCCTTTTATTATATAGTAGATTTTTTTATAAGTGCCAAATTATTTATAAGTTATTGAAAGAATCTCTTACTAATAAAAGAGACTAATTGAAGCCTCTCAAGCTATCCACATAAGCATTTTCCAAACCTCACTAAAATCTGCCACGTCAGCTATCTAATTGCTACCTTAAACAGCCACGTAATCATGTTCAGAAGTTATTAATTTTTATCTGGAATCATCAACGCACAAATCTATGGGTGCTCAATTAAGGTTACCTCATCTCTTTACTTAAAAGTCGAAGCGTTCTACCTTCCCCTACGTCTAATCACTTCCTCTTAACTACATCCTCGATTATCAAGAGAGTGCAGAAGCAACGTTCATCTTCCATAAAACTTCTACTCTCTTTCCTCAGCAAAATCATGCTCCATCATCGAGAGTGTGTTGAAGAAACGTTCATGCACTCACGTCTACTTACGCAATCGATCTTCATTGCTTTTCATCAAACCGTGATAGTCATCTCTCAAGCCCATGTCTACGCCGTCCAATATGAAACCTGGGAAAGAAAACTCAATCCCCAGGAATTCATATAAAATATGCTTCCCTAAAATACAACAAGTTGTAAGCGCTCATTCTGTTTTAGTAACCATCCCCATTCTATTTTTTATAGGGGGTGATATTCGACATTCTGCTGGATATTAACGATGGATAAAGGAGAAATTCTGGTTTCCAAAAGAATTTATCCATAAACCATTCCTAGAGTCTTTTATGCATACACGGCGACACGAATCGTCGGCAAACCATGTTTGAGGTGAAAAAACTACTTTCTTTGGTGATTTTTTATGGAGTATGAATTTAAGTAGACACCATGATCTATTTATGTCAGGATAAAGTTTTCAAAGAGAGTTATGTGAGGTTTCAAGTTCTGAAAACCTGAACATGTACCCAACGCTGAAAAGCCAAATCTCCGATTTGATGCTTTATTTTTCAGTGAGAAATTCCACACTACCACACGAATCACAGTTCTAGACCTGAACTGAGATTTCCCAATTTTGATTTGTATATGAATCTAATCTTATTGATATTTAGGGATTGGAAGCTATAAACTGTGATTCTCCCTATCTCTGATTTTAGGTTCATTTCTTTACCGATGGATCATGAAGCAATATACTTTACCATTGGTAGTTTAGCATGACCAAAAACGTTCTTTAGAGAGATAATATAAAGTCATGGTGAAGTGACATTGAAGGTTCAGTCCTCATTGAAAAGGTAAAAAGGGGTTCCTTACTCTCTCGCTCTCTGTGACTCTTGAATGTTTGTATGGACAGCTTATTGACAGTTGAAATTATTTTGGTTAAACATTAGTGATTTTTTATTAGTAAGAGATGTATCGCCTTATCAAATTGTCTTATAATATTTCCACAGGGGCGAGAACATTTGCTGTCTTGACAAAAATTGATGTTATGGACAAAGGAGCCGGTGCATTACGTAAGTTGCCTTATCACATTGCATTATAATTGTAAAAGAAGCTGCAACTATTTGCAATTAAAAGAGCTAGAAATGCATAACAATAGTTTTCGTCTAATTAGGTTATGAAATGATATTAGAGCTACGACATGCTAACTTTTGTAGTAATATATATGTTCCCTCATTTTTTATTTTTTTGCTAATTATGTTCCCTCATTATTATTGTGTCCATCCCTACCTAACAAATGATGTTTTCTGCATAGATTCTACAAGCGAAATCTCTTACACTTAAGTATATATGGGTTAGTGTAGTCCTCCCACTCTCTTAGCTTTTCTGTAAAAATTTAGTTACACAAATCAATGCCATCCACGGTGTAACCTTCTCACTTCTATCATGTTTGTTTCATTTATGCTAGATTTAAAAATGGTGGGGCGATGGCGAAGAAGAACCAAAGATAGGCTCTCCTTAAAATTGTTTGTAATCCGAGAAAAAGTCGTTGGTCGAGGTGGTGATGGGTTGGTAAACCATGGTTATGATTACAAACGTAAGGACGTCGAACCCGTCGACAGTATTGCCGTGACGTGCCAGATATCATACTTTAATCTGAATACAAGGTTTACTCTTCCTAAATTTGTCTAATTCTTTAATTTGGTTATGTTCTTTTTCCTTTCAACCCTTGCTGTTTCTTTAATTTGGTTATATATGTTTTTGGCTTTGAACACTTTTAAATTTCAAAATATAAATTATAGCCAAAAAATTATCAATTATTTATTTCACATGTGTACTAAAAATCTAAAAATAAATAAAAACCAAATTATGTAAAATAAAATGTATACTCGGGCGTAGCCCGAATTTTCCTCTAGTATATTTAATTTTTTTTTATTCAGGCCTAAAACCTATACAAAATCTTAAGTTTGTAATGAAACCTATATATATATATATATATATGTATATATATATATAGTATAGATTCATTGATGAACAAACTGTCCGTTGTAGCACATTGCTTAAACTTTGAAATCAAGTTACCCTCTAATTGGAATTCTGGGTTCGAATCCCGGTAGCGGAAATTCTTTTTTTTTTTTAACTATAAGAAAAACCTTTACACAATCTATATGTATATTATAAATTCATAGAATAAGAAATAATCCGCTTTAGCAAACAGGCTAAATGCTATAATGATCTGTTTGATCATATGCTCATCCCGGGTTTAAAGTCCGGCAGCGGAAGTTAATTTTTTTAATCTGTTGAAAGAGTGACAGTATTACATGCTTGTAACTAATTCAGCTAAGACCTTATTAAACACTTGTTTGCTATATATATGATTTTAAGAATATTGCACACAACTTTTCAGATGAGAATGGCAGCAGTTATGTGTTTTGAGTAACCGTCAAAATACATCTACACAACAACAACAAGAGAAGAGTGAGTGTATACAGACAAAAGTACATAGAAAGATTTGTTCTTTTTGAAACCAAAGCAAGGAAGCCAAGCCGCTCTCCATTCTTCTTAGCAAGCCTAATAAGCCCTTGTCTCTGTTTTGCATCAGCTCCAAAACTTTGTGATCACCTGAAAGAACAAAAACCCATTTCCAAAAAACACATGGACTTCGCTTCTATGACTAGTTCTAAAGCGAATGATTAAGAAAACCTGAGAGTGCAAGGCAATGGCTTTTCCTCTGAGCTGATTAAAACTCTTCTTGCCTACTTTGTTGCGTGTGACAACAACTATAGATGCAAATAAGCCTTTGCCTTCATTGACATTCTTTATCATTGGCACTGCTTTGATTGCTTTCCGAGAGACTCTTTCTTGTTGCGGTGGCGCAACCGTCTTGGAGAGCATGTTTTGGTAATCTTCGCTTGACATGGAACTTCCCCAACCTCCAAAAAGGAATTCCGGGTTCGAAGCCCGGTATTGAAAATATATTTTTGTTCATTTTATTAGTCTTAGTCTTCTACTCTTATAAAAGGCAGTTTCGTTAATGTTGAATCTTGTAAACCAAGCGAAGTTATCGTTGTATCTTATTATAACGTTCTTATTTGATTAATGACTTCAATGTGTTTACGGCTTTTGTATTGATTTCTAGTTTGCATGGGATTGTTATGGGTTGCTGATCTGCCTAAATACTCTTGTTTCTCTTTTTGTTTATGACTTTTCAAAGGGTTGAATTCTGAGTCAATCCAACCTTTTTTGAAGCTTCCTTCGTTTGATTTCACTTACAATTCAACCTCTTCGAAAAAAAACAAATAAGATTTGTTAAAACCTTGAAACCAAAAGCTGCAGATCTATCATCTTTGACGACTATAGGAAACTGTCTAAAGAACAACGTCCCTCAATTTCTCCCAAGCCTCTCATCATTCCTCCAACTTCAGGTATATCTCTCATTTCAAATGCACTTTCTACTTTTGTTTACATATAAGAGAGTTCAACTTTGCAGCTTTGCGGAATTGAACAAGGAAACAATGAGTTTCAAACAATATATGATAATGGACTCGAACATTCTACGAAAGCTCTCTCGAGAATTGGACTGGTTTAGTGTGTATTTAAGCTATTTTACGTCATACATGAAATTTTCTTGTGTTTATTTAATTGCCTTTAATAATTTGGGTTGTGCTTAGGATCGGATTTCCATAAATTTTACAATGGCAATTAATGTAAATCTATTACTAATAAAAGGAACTAATTGAGGCATTTCAAGGTGTCCACATTAGCTTTCTAAACTACTACTATTTTATAAGTTTCCACGTCAGCATTCTCATGCCATGTCTAAAAGATTTGATTTTAGGTTTTCACGTTTCTTTGTGGATAGATCGATTAACTTTCCCTTACCTCTTCGACATCTTCGTAACTACAACAATATGGAGAGTCGTCATCTTCAAAGCTTCTATATATTTCCAGTTCATCTAATATTCCTGCAAACTATAGAATTTGTTCGTAGGCCTCTCCGCACGAATCAGATGTTTGAATCTAAAAAGTGGACTTCAGTCGCTGTGTGGGTTTGACCAGAGAAAAGGACTAGTAGAGGGGATAGAGTTCAAAAGATCTATGGTAAGTATTTCCCTTTCTAATCTTTTTTAATCTATCATAAGTAACGTAAATATATAAATAAACCCTAAACCCTATATATATATATATATATTCTTCTAAAGTCTAAGAATAATTATTTGTTAATCTAACATGTGAAAGTTCAAGATAAATAGTTTTTGTTGACTATAGAACAAATACAGAGTAAACGTCCATGCAATTAGATCGTTTATTGTAGTGGCTGACTCTTTTGATGTGTAATTTCTTTGGCACTTGGCAGACCCATTCAAATTTATAGACATTTATAGATGTTGTTTTGTTTTAGTATTCATGCCATCATTTGCATCAATGTTGTTGTGCAGTATCTATATATGATCAAGGCATGGGGAAAGGCATAGCCAGAGAACAAGTATGTGAATTCTTTTACCAGATGGGTCTGAAATACACACAACTTTTAGGACTGGATCTTGGCCTGAAGAATGGAGAGGAACATCAAAAGGTGGTGTGGTGAGTGACACATTATCGGAATAAAAGAAAATTAAAGGAAGGGTAAGTAAATTAAATAATATATGAGTGTAATTAAGCATCAATAAGGGCAGCATCTAGCTTCCCTCTCACTTTACCAGTTCCTTGCATTGTCCTTTATGGCCTGAATAACAAAATTAGGTAATAAAATAGGAAATCAATAAAAATAGATTTTGAGTACAATATATCAAATTATCAATGCTAAAGTCTTCATGACTGCAGATGGGAGTTGTGGTCAAGAAGGGATTTCGATATGGTGTAGCTATATTGCTATATAAGCATTTGATTAGAAATCAATAGATTAATCCATGGATGTCCAATAAGTTTTTAATAAATACATAGTCTCATTTTGCATTTGTCAAATGTTAGAGATATACCGGGCGTACCCCGGATTTTTCCCTAGTTATATTGAAAGTTTTTATCCAAAAAATATCCTTTTATTATATAGTAGATTTTTCTATAAGTTTCAAATTATTTAGAAGTTTTTGAAATAATATATTAATTTTTTTTTTCAGGCCTAAAACCTATAACAAAATCTTAAGTTTGTCATGAAACCTATATATATAATAAAAATTCATTGAGTAACAAACAGTCCGCTGTAGCACATTGCTTAAACTTTCAAATCCACTTTCTCTCAAACTGGAACTCAAACTGGAATTCCGGGTTCGAATCCCGGCAACGGAAAATCTTTTTTTATTAACCTTTACGCAAATCTATTTGTATATTATAAATTCATTAAATAACTAACAATCCGTTGGAGCACACATGCTAAATGCTATTATGATCTCTCTGATCTTTCTTATCCCGGGTTCAAAGCCTGGCAGCGAAAAAGTAATAGGTTCATAGTTATAGGCGATGAGTACACCAATGGATCTGTCACCATGTCATATGCCAATGATTCAACATTGTGATACTTCCACATGGATTATAGAGGATCCGTGATCCGGAGAGATTGGAGTGTGACTACGAGAAACTCGACATTAATTGATGCGTATAATTAGTTCGTACGTCTCCGTCCTTTGCCCTAGTTTTAGATAGCTTGCTTGTTCAGGTCACGAATCTACAGAAACAAAAACATCAATTTAATTTTTTTGTCAATATCAGTTGCAACAAAGTATCTATCAAAACACAATTTGTATCACTGGCTCTTAAAGTGTGTGCCAACAAGAATTTCTCTCTCACAAATAAGCTCGGACAAAGTAAGTGTATGACTCTTAAAGTGTTTCGCAACAAGAATTTCTGTTTAATCCATATCTGTTGGGATATAAGAATTAAGGGCAAGAGATTTTTTGTGAAGAGACTGTCGTGAGCATTGGGACAAGGTTTTGAGCGAGGAACTTTTTAGTTCAAAGTTGGACATGATTTTTCCAGGGAATGAAGATGACGCATAGGCACTTGACGGGACAACGTCGGAATATTTTCTAACTTTATGTTACACCTGAATATGCAGTGGGAGGAATCTTGTCAGAGAAATCTTATGTTTTCATCTTAGGAGTGATACTCTACAAATTATCTTACATTAAACTCAAATTATCTTATGTAAGTCTACCTTAACTCTACAAATTTTACAAACTTTTTAGAGATTGTTCGCAAGCTCTTAAAGCTTCTTTGTTTGAGTTTCATTAAGTAAGACAAAACTAGTTTCTCGAATCCAGAACGTACGTACCTAATTAAGGTTTCTCTCGCTTTCCAAATTTCTATGAATCTTTTGAAAATTGAAATTTTTGGTATAATTAATATCAATATTATTTTTGTGTGAATTTTCCATCACCAAACAACACCGGATCCAAATAAAAGACAATCAACCGGATGGACTCCTCCTCCTCGTTTTCTTGTCAAATGCAATTCTGATGCTTAATAATCTTCCCAAGTGACGGGGGGGGCTGGCTGGTACGGGATCATCACGGATCAATCCAAGCTTGGTGCGAGTAACCAACCTTGTTGAATAATTTCGCAAAAAATATTCACATACATCTAAATTTATACATTATATTCTAAATTCAAATAAAAACAAAAGATCTGCTGTAGCACTTTGGTTTATACTAAATATCTAGGTCTCTTTACATCTAGATTTGAATTCCGGGTTCAAAGCCTGGTAGCAGAAAACCTTTTTGTTTGATTTCAAAGTCTTAGCTTTAATTATATATATTGACTTTGTTCTCCTACTAGATAAAAGCCCGCGCTACGCAGCGGGATATGTTTTTATAAAATAATTT